CATCGTTGGTTAGGCACCGTTGGTTAGGCACCGTTGGTTACGGCATGTTAAGTTTAGAGATCTACTTGATCGAGGTACTCTGAAGAAGTCATTTGCAGTGCAGTTTAACCCTTTATCTGGTTATGGAAATTTTTTGGCGATTTGTGAGTCTGAAGTTGAACGGCGCCAGTGCGTTGCTGCGTTAGGCTTACTGCGTGTTAGTCCGCCCCAGGAGAATGGTCTGACACGACGGATGTCGCCGAGTACGCAGGACAGCGGCGCATCGGATGCCTATACCGGTTTCGTGTCTGGTTCGCGGACCAGGCGCCGTCCCGACCGGTTGGGTTGTGGGGACTGTCGAGGACGGAATCCCACGCGTCCTGGCGGGGGGGCATCGCATCCTGGCGGGGGGGCATCGCGTCCGGTAGACGGGCGGACGGTTATGGGAGATGGGAGGTTGAGGAGTCCGGAGCGAGCAGTGAGTCCGGAGGGGCAGGTGACTTCCGGGTACCCGACGCTGCGGGCCAGGCATGCCCGCTCGCCTTTGCGGTATGACTCCACTACTCCGGACTCAGCTGGGCCGGACTCGGTTCCTCAGACGTACATCGTCGACCACCACTGGCGACACTATCGGTCTTTGTCTCCTATGGACAAGGGCCCGATCAAGAAAAGTGACTTGGCGGGAGGACCCGACGCGCTGGCTCGTTCTCTCACCCCGCCCACGCGGGACCGGTCTTGGGTGGCGAAAGAGCAGTCCGTCCCGATGCCCACTCTGTGTCGAGCTTGTCTAGTCCCCCCAGCAGAACCGGTGCTGCCCATTCCCTGTCGACGCATGGACCCACAACGTGACTCGTCCGTCGGCATGCCCCTCACTCACAACCCCAGCTTCGCGCCTCTGGTTCCAACTCCTCTACACCCTACTCAACAAGACGCGGTGCAACCTCCCGCCTCCTCGAAAAAATTCCGCGAAAGCGAACGCGTAGGCCGCACCCCGCTAGGTTCTCCTCTTCTCCACCCGTCACTCGCGCGACAGATGGACCCTTTCATAGACTCACACAAGCGGCGACACAAAAGCCGGCACAGTGACCGGCACAGGAGTCCGCCGGAGGACACTGGGAGCGACCTAGGGGAACCCATGAGGCAACGATCGCACAACTCAAGACTGAACGACTCGAGACTGCACGAACCGAGACTGCACGAACCGAGACTGCACGAGCAAAGACTCCGCTCCCCCCCGTTCGAGCACTTCCCTGACGGTAAAGACGCCCCCATGACCGCCCCCGAACAGTTGATACCCCGTGCGGTCAAACCGGACACTGCGGAAGCCCCTAAATATGGGTCGAAGTCTCCGAAGGTCCTGATGTCGGAATCTGGTAACCGGGGCGGCGGGTTTGGGGGACGCCGGACTAGCGAGGGCGACCCCCAATCGGGCGGGACCCGAGCGGGTGGATCCCGAACGGGGGCGGGGCGAGAGGAGACTCAAGGAGCAAAGGGTGGCACCGCAGGTGCCGACGACACCGATGACGACGCCACCGATATACAGCAAGGTTTATTAGGACGAAGGGAAACGACAATGGAGATTGCGTTGGACCGCGCCCGTGAAGATCCAGAAGCGAATCGAATGCGCATTTATTCGTACGCCATGGCAGGGCCGGCGGTCGAGGGCTCGCCTTGGAAGATGGAGATGGAGTCAGCAAGAACACCGCAAGCCGTTACCGGGCACAGCGCCAAGCCGGCAACGGGGAAGGGACAAGGGAGAGAACGGAGAGTACAGGCGGAACGGAAAGTCCAATCGAGCGCAAGCAGGGAAGCCGAAAGACTTGGGAGCGTTGATGCTTCAATGTCGATACCAGAAGGCGCGGTGGTCGAGAGCATTAGAACGGACACCGGGGTCATCGACAGCGGCTTTACCGATGGTGACCTTGGTGCAGACGGTCTTCTTCAAAAAGACGGTGGTGGAGGAACAGCCGGTCTCGGAGGACACCGGGTCCTACTAGGGGCCCAAGGAATCAACATACCTCCCCGTGCTCAACATCGTCAGGATAATATGCTACGGACCGTACTTGAAGAGCAGGGGGACAACCAACAAGGGGACAACGACGCCGCTAGGAACAGCTTTACCAACTTTTTTAAGCAGGACCTTTCGGACACTACAGGGCAACCGGACATCGGCGATACCGAAAATACTCTGACTCTTCTGCAAGCTACACGCCTTGACGAACTGCCCAACGCCAAAGAACACCGCAATGGCAAAATACAACCGGATGCTGAAGAACGGCCCAATCCCAAAATCTTGCTCCACAAAGACCTGCTGTATAGCCCGAGTGGGCTTGACAGCGAAGAATCATTCGACGTCAGCGCCAGCCAAATCACGCCGGCATACGTACAAACCAAGCTAAGGAGACAAATTGAAAAACAAGGAGGCTCTCATTATGAGTCTCCCCTCCGCGCGGACACTTCTGACTGGAAACCGCTGAGCAGCCTATCTCCTATCGAAAAACTGAAACTGAGCCGGATTGGTGTTCCGACTCCGTTTACCACTGCTCAGGAACAGATTACAAATATTAATTCTCCTGCTCTCGCTGCTGAAGAGTTCAGTAAGTCTAAAAAAAGAAGCAGCGAGATATGCATCCACTTGTAACGAACTTTTTCTGTCAACTAATACAATAGATCGATTTTTGCCCATCCCTTGTTGCATGCACACACGTGTGCGATCAGCTATTATTTTTCGCGTACCACGCACCTTGGTGACTCAAGGCTCTCAACTGCTATAAAACTTTGTAAGACCGCCCAAAAGTCGTTAACTTGTGAAAGGTGCAGACTCAAATCACCATATATTGGAAAATATGGATTGCGCTTGCGTTTGGAGCAGCTTGATGAACGCCATCGGCCGTCTAGCGACGGGGGCGAGCTCAATAAACGAGGGTCTGGCGGAGTTGCCCACCGATCTTGGTTTGTCATCGCGGAGTTCGACTTTGATGACCTACTCTGCGCTCCTTTTGTTGGCAGTGCTCCTTCTGAACTCAGGTAAGATTTATGATGGAGTAATTCGACAATTTGGTAGGACGGCTAGTGGGAGACAAGCCTCCAAGACCGAACAGCCAGCAGCCGCCTCCATCGGCAACCACGTGAAGGGGCTGCGGCCAGGGGGTTGTTTATTCTCGTAGTGATGACCAATTATGTATATAGAAGTGCATGATCGCGCCAGCAGCGAATCGGGCCAGTAGCGAATCATGTCATTGCAACAGGTAGAATTAATAGTAATGTGCAGCCCGGTCGGCTACGTAGCTCAATAGTCAGGAGCTGGATTTAACCACACGCCGGAACACCCTCTTGCCGAGGGCGGCCCCCCCTCCCCCTCAACTGCATGTCGAACTACATCCGACAGCCGCACGACGTTCGAAGTCTCGACGCGGAGACGTTGGCGGAGCACGTGTCTCGCGCCCCTCGGCCTACAGTGTTGGAGTCTGCGTTGCGTTCGGACGTGCCGAATGGTGTGAAAATCGTGGTGGGTCCAGTGATCGGTTTTGTGACACAAACAACGGCTCGCATATGGGTGATGTTGAGCAAGGAGGGTTCGGTGTCGGTTCGTTTGATTCCTTCGAAGCTTTTGGACCGTGACCCGTCTAATTTAATCGACCAAATTCCGTCGAATTTGGTTCTGACCAACTGGTTGAGCCTGGAGTGTGTGGACAAATGCTGCCCGGTCGTATTCGACTTCACTGACCTGTTACCGAATACGCGGTACAGCGTCGAATGTTCACTACCGATCGTTGGTCCCGCGATCGCCTCACGGTTCAAGACGGCTCGTGCGGAAGACGACCGGTTCCAGGAAGCACCTATGGTCGTAGGTTTCACCAACGGCTGTCCTATGACCGAACGCATGTTGAGACCGCCTGAGCACGTGGACTGGCGGGACAAGGTCACCGGACCGCGCATTATCTCCAACATGTCTTGGTACACGATGCAAAACATGGCGCTGGACCGAGAGTTGGATATGTTGGTGCACACGGGCAACTTCCTGGACACCATGCGCCACGACCCAGTACATTTTGACGCCAGACTCAAGGCAGTCATGGGCGCTGGCTACAAGAGCCAGGGTCTACAACCGACCATGTGGGACCTGGCCAAAGCCATTTACTCTTCGCGTGCCGCAGACCAGGCCTTCCGGCACATCGAGGAGGAGTGTGTCCTGTACTGGCAGCGGCTTTTCAACGAACCACTTGTCAAGAACACCCTCGCAAATGTACCAAGTCTGTACTTCTTCAACGAGACGGAGATCGGCAAAATGACCGTATCCAGTTTCCTCCAACACAACGGAGAAGGCAATGGCTTCACACTGGATCCTCGAAAAATCGACGACATCAGTAGCATCTTCCTGATTGTCGCCAAACGTTTCGTTGAAGCCTTCAATGGAACTCCCGAGTCACTCCACTGCGCAGGCTGCTTCAAGGTCGGTCCCGTCGGCATCGCACACATCGACCTTAAAGTCTGGCCCTTCCTGTCAAACCGGCGTGAGACAATGATTGGAGATGGCGGAGCCGTGGACAAGCTGTTGCTTTCGAAGGCCCTCACCTCGCAGGGCTTCTTCGAGTCAAGTTCCATGCTCCTGGTTATCGTTCAGGAACCCCTGAGTTTCAACGGAAACGTCTGGGGCTTAAATCGGAGCGCGCGTACGACACTGCTCAACGAACTGTTGTGCTGGCGAGACGCGAAGAACGTGGGTGAGCGCGAGGTGTTGCTGGTGGCCGGTACGGCCTCCACGGCTACGCAAGCTGGACTTAACGATATCGTCCTTACGCGCTATGCCTCCCCCGTCTCAGCCTTCGTCCGTTCCTTCACGGACAAACGCCTGGAACTGGACGACGAGTCTCTGGACCGACAAGAAGAGGCGAGCAGACGGTCGCGCAGACCGCTGACTTACCGGCCCGAGCTGCTGGAGGCCCCCATGCGGCCGGGCTTTATGAACTTGCTCGTGGGCAGTGAGACCACCTGGTTCGACCTGCCGCACAAATTCCTACCGCGGAATCGGGTGCGCGAATTGGTCGTGCCCTTCGTTAACAAGACCACTCATAATGCTAGCACCGCGCCGAGCCAGAGCTGGACGGACAATGACGTGCGCGTCTACAACTACAACACGGCCGGCGCCGAGGGCTTCGCGACCGTGGTCTGCGACGCGGAAATCACCAAGTACTCACCGGGCATCCACCTGCTCACACCCTCGCGACCTATTACCAAGGACCGCAGAGGAAATGTCGGGTCCTCAGACGAAGCGAACGAGGATCTGCAGGCCGAAGATCTACGGGGCGAAGATCTGCGCAGCGACGGACAACGGAGCGAGGACCTACGGGACGGCAGTAAACCCAGCCAGACGGATTGCGTTAAGTTCTGGACGCGTCTATTCCTGTGTCCGGAACCGGCAAACCGTGTGCCGCGGCGATTGGCAGAAAAACAGCGCGCTGTGCCGAGCCACGAGTTCCACGTGGGTTTCGAGAACTTCGCGACCAACGACAACGTCTGGTTCCCGCTTCCCGACGATGAACCAGAACGCGTCTACAACCGACTGCCACCGACGGCTCTGACCTCAGGCGTCTTCCAGGCCTACCGCGAAGCACGCCTGAAAAATGTCATCCTGCGTCTCTTCCGCTACCAACATCGGGTCCCGCCCTCTTCAACCCCTCCTCCCTTATTCCTGGCGATGGCCGTGCTGTGGACGAAGCCAGCGCCGCGCCCGTTGAACCCAATTTGACACTGACCGACTGGGAACAGATCGCACAGACCGTGTACGACGAAATGAACCACTCCGGAGAACTGCGCAGAGAAAGTGCCACCAGCATCGGCTCCTACTCGGATCTCGACTCCCTGCTCTCCGACCTCTCGCTGCACCTACCGCCCAACCCCTCCCCCCAGCGCTCCCCCGGTCAGGAACCCAACCAGCGTTCGCCCAGCCAGGAGCCCAGCCAAGATCCATCGGCGCCCCGGACCAGAGGCAACCGCGCCTCCCTGGACGTGCCCAGACCCCAGCGCCGCAGCACGTCCCGGGGCGGCGCTCCCTCTCCTGGCGACGTGTCGTCCCCATCCTCGGGTGGCTACCCCTCGACGGGGTACTCCCCGAGGTCGGCGACGCCTTCGGACCGCCGGCGTTCCAGTCCCTCCGTCTTCAGTCCGAACCACGACGCGTTTTCTGGGTCGGAGGCGCGCGCAAAACGATTGTCGAACGCGTCCTCAGCCAATCGCGGTTCGCGGGGATCGTCGAGCAGCGCACGTCCAAGCGGGCTCGCTCGGCGCAAGGCATCGCGCGGGACCGTGTACATCTTGAACAAGCGCCGCAACCGGCGTCGTTCGAGCATGTGGGCGAGTATCCGATCGCCCGGAGACACGGGCTCGAGCTCACGGGTTGCTGGCATTCCGTCCTTCGTGGGTGTCGGTCGTCGAGTCAGCGCAGACACTAGCGGCTCTGACCGTGCCCCGACCTTGGCCGACCGTCTCGCCCAACAAGTAGACGTTGGCACCAGCTTCCAAATGATCGGCGGCACTCCCACCCCTGTTGGCGCCAGCCCCGGCGTGTCGCCCGGTCGTCGCCGTTCCTCGCTTGCCTCGAACGTTACTGCCCGATCCGCGAGCACTGGCGCCGTCTACGTGGAGTACTTCACCAACCGCAGTTTGGACACACATCCCTTCCAACGAGGCATCGACCGCTGGGTTGCCGAACAACGGAAACAACCACTCGACCAGTCCCCCGTCCTACCCGTCCGAGCCGCATTCATCCACCAGGGCTCCCTCAACCCCGAAGGAGCATTTCACCTCTACCGTACACATCTCATCACGTCCGACAGTGGACTCTCGCGCGTACCCACCGCAGAAGGCACCAACGACAGCTAACCGGCGCCGTTGGCTGATCTGCGGGCTGGTGTGGACCTGATAGTTAGTATTGACACACCCGAGGAAGGTT